ATGTAGATTTGACTAATCCATATATTCTTCCTCCTCCTATTTATTCTCAAATGGCATTTCCTGTTAACAAATCTGAAACTAGCCTATTTCAACAACCTATGAACAATTCTCAACAACAACTATTTGATACCACCAACATTACTACTGCTACTCCTAATGCACCTAATACTCCTACTATTACCAATGTTCATGAATCATCAAGTAAGAAGAGGAAGGCTAAATCCAAAGCCTATGAAATTGTCGATTCTACTACCATCACTGCTACTACTCCCAAATCAAAAAAGAGAAAGACAAAAGCTTCAAATGATTCAATTCCAAACACTTCATCATCTTCTCCAAACGATTCAGCAAGCCTTGGAAATAGTTCAACTATCACTACTACTACTGCTACTCAATCACCTAAAAGGAGTAGAAAATTAAATTTAGGACTTCAAAGTAATGATTTTAAAACATTAATAGAATTCAATAGATTTCTTTCAGAATTGAATGAACAAGAAGATATGAAACAATCAATTGAAGCAATACTTCCAAGATTTAAATTTGATTTTTTAAAGGCTTTAATTGTTTCATGTAGGAAAATTACACCTAAATATTTAACTAATTATAGATCTCATCAAACAAAGTATCAAACATTACTTCAAATTATTTCTGTAAAATCTGAAACTTTAAATTTAATTAAATTAATAACAAATGAAAATGATAATAACATTTGTAATAATAATAATAATACTATTAAATCAGTTGTAAATAATTTTGAAATGGATAATTATAATGATATTGTTAACAATACAAAACAAACTACTAATGATGTTCCAACAATTAGTCAATCAAATGAAGGAATAGTATTAGATTGGCATTCTTATTGTGATATTACATTAGATTTAATTCAATCAACATATCTTCCATTTTCCACTACTACAACTAATAATATCCTTAATAATACTAATGAATTTAATACTGTTAATAATAATAATATTGAAATTAATAATACTAATACTAATAATAATAATAATAATAATACTAATACAGTTAATAATAATGTAATTGATGATTCATTTAGTTTTTCAGATTTTCTTGATTGTTCTTCTGAAATTGTTCCATCCAATGAAAGAAACAATGAAGAATTAATTAATGATTTAATGAAACAATTAAATGAAAAGAATCAACAAATTGAACAATTAAATAGAATGTTTCAATTACAAGAAACTTATAATCAAAATCTTTTAAATTTAATTCAAACATTTAAAAATAATTTATATGAATTTGATCAAATTAATAATAATAATAATAATTTTATTTAATTATTATTATTTTAATTAATTTTAATATATGTTACAATTACAATTACAATTATTATTACAATTAAAAATATTAAAAATATTAAAATCTCTCATCAATTAAATCAATAAATTCATCACATTTAATAACATTAATAATATTTTCATTATTTAAATCT